CTTAACTACTACTACTACTACTCTCTCTCTCTCTCTCTCTCTCTCTCTCTCTCTCTCTCTCTCTCTCTCTCTCTCTCTCTCTCTCTGTCAGTCAATACTCGATGATTACAACCATTCGCGCCGCATGACGCGTTTCAGCATACAATCGCGGTTTTCTCGACTATCGCGGGTTGTCCCTCGTGAAAAAACACACGTATCGAAACGCGATTTCGCGTTGAGTTTCGCCTGAAATTGCACGCGCGATTTCTGCCTCGACTAGAAAGTACAACGACAAGCTAATGGCACAGCCTTGTAGGGCAAAATACTCGCGATGAAACGGAACGAACTTTTCTGTCAAGTCACAAGAGTTTCCACGAGGGAAACATTGTGCTGGTTGCGATTGGTTTTACCTACGAGCAACGGGCAAGTGCACTTTCGCGCGATTTTTGCGACGACTGCGCTGCATTCTGCCCCCGCGCACATTCTATTCACTAATTATATCGTACCGATCAAACTTGTCTCATTCCTCGACGGAAACAGAACCGATCGAAAGATGACGACAATTCTATCAAAAGTCAATCAAGCTAATTAATTCGTCGTAGAAGTCCCGAAAGAGAAAGAGAGATCATTTCTAAAGAAATAATTAAGTAAAAACAAAGAGGGGGATCAGCAACGAGTAACAATAAAAAAATAATAGATTCGAAGTATTTTTCAAGAAATATCCTTCCATTATCAAAATAATTTATCTATGTATATGTTATGTATAAAATCGAGAGGATTATATCGTTAAATGACTTGCTTAACTCGAGTTGATTATTGTTTTTATATGATATAGTATTAGGTATATAATCATAAAAGATACATTTTTAGCTTATTCTTTAGACAATTCTTTAGCACGCTTTACGCGACTTTTGGACACTCGTTTTTTTTTTCAACTCGTTATTTGCACTCTTTTTAATAAATAAATTTCCGCTTCTACATAATACATCTCTTTTAGGTGTGATATTTTAAGTATTTCCTGGATCTCTTTGATTTTGAATTAATATTTCGGAAGAAATTCACACGGCACGGAAAGCAGCGTGGAGAGATATAATTAAAGAAGATCAGTTATTTACACTCGGTCTCTGCTCGAATCCTGGATGACACTACACCGCGGGAGAGGCACGGCGCGACAGGTCGGACCACGCGCACCGGTTAAGCGCGACAAACTGGGAATTCGACGGCGTGGCGGCGCGGATCTGGCCGGTGCCACGGTTGCTTTTCCCGGGGTATGCCGTACGGTACCGTTGGAGATCCGGTCGGCAAACCTGTCGGCTGCCTCCTCGATCCGCCGCGACAAAGAATCGCCGGGGAAAAGAAGAGGGATCCGCTCCGAGTCTATTAATCGAGTTAACGAGCGAGCGAGGACGAGGAGCGTCCGCGAGAAAATTTACCGATAATATAATTCTTAAGCGATGCGATTGCCTTCGGATCTCTTGAGGTATCCTAGACACCGACACCTCATGGAAAGCTCATCGACCTAGTTAATGTCACGAGGATAACGAGAAGCGAGAACGAAACGGTAAAAAAAGTTTGTCGAAGGATAATGAGATCAGTAAGTGATATGTAATTATCTTCGGTCTGCTTATGATATCTGAAATAATAATTCCTCAGCTTCTGATTAAAAAAAAAAAAAAAATCTATTAAGGAGTAATGATGATACGCGTGTAAATAATCGTGTCTTTCTTTTTTCAGACTGTAAAATATTTTGGATAAAATGTTTTTGTCATAAAAATTAAGGATTCTTCTAATGATACGTTAGAGAAATAAGAGGACGATTCTATAAATACATAAGAGATACATTAATATGAAGAGATTAATGATATAATTTAGAAATATACACATATAATATACACAGAAAGTATCCTACCGCATTATCTTTGACAATAAAGACTTGCAAAATAACGTGTAGATGTAATAATAATATATTTTTCCATAAATTACACGCGATTATCATTATCTGTAATTACATTATTGCACAACTAATTAAAATTAAATTAATTTACTAATCTCAAATTCAAAGCTAATCGCTATTATACTTTCACTTCCTTTAGTCGCTAGTCCGCTGCGCTTCATTTGTTATTTAATAAAAGAAGAAGACGCCGGTGAATAGAGCGAGTAGAACGGTAGAACGAAGAAGGCAGACGCGATTTAGGAAATTCTCCTGTTACTTCGTTGTTGTTACAATGCCTATCATCTTCTCATCCGGGTTAGCGAGTCCGCGGACGATTATCCAAGCGCACAATGAAGAAAACGTCGTTGCCGTGAGATTAGCGCGTTATTTGCATCTCGGTGCAAGAGCGCGAGAACGAGCGGCGGACGAGGATCTGTCCTATCCCTTGTGACTCGCCGAGCATTTTTTCTAGCCTTTTCAACATCACGCAATATCTCTCTGGCTCGCGCAGCTACTCTCGCGGGAGTGTTACGCGTTTTCGAGGTCGATCGACAGTGTATTACACCTGGCTTTCACTTTCGTGATTGCCAGTACCGTACCCGACCATCGTCTCTACTCGCCTATGAAATGTTTGGACACGCCAATAAAGAAAAATCGACAAGATTAATGTGGAATTTAAGCGCAAAGATGTTCGTTAATCAGTAATCAGTAACGTTAATTAAGCAATTTTAATGACGAGTTTAGTTATTCTTAGTTCTTTGATTCGTTGTCAAAACTTGTATTTATTATTATCAATTTATCATTATTCATTATTGTTATTATTAATATTGTACATGATTTATTAATTTATTTTTGAACCAATTGGTTCTTGAGCAAAAATAATTTGGATAAAAATTACTCGTGATTGCTAAAATGAAGCTCTAAATCGTTGATTTAAAAAAATCAATTTAAAATAAGAACACCTTTATTAACCAACTCGTATTATACTTGTCACATTGCAAAAATTTATAAATAAACAATAATACCGATCGGATGATGTCAGAAAAATCTTCTCCGTGTCAGAAAAATTCTATTTGCTTCCTTCTTGAGCACGATGGTTATGAACTAAAGCAACGTTCGGCACAATACTGCCGATTAACTCGTCCTGCCGTTCACCGGTGATCGATCGGTTCACCTATTCACCTGGATCTGGTGAATTCGAAGACCTTGCCTACTCACTCTTTCTTTCGCAATTTGCTTAGTTTTCTTCCTCGCTATATCTTTTATTAACGTACTAGCCAAAAGAAGATTTTTATAAAGCTTCAATATGTCATTAATTTATTAATCTTCAACATTTTCAACAGATTTTGTTTACACTAAATGACGAATTGTTCTCCAATCGCAAACTAAATTCAATTTAATATTCAATTTAATTCAATCCCTTTAAATCGCAAGTCTTTTATCGAATTAACTTTTTCCCGTTGTAAATTTTATTCAATTTACTCAATTGTACATTCAATTTTGTTCAAACAAACTTCACTCGGCGTAACACCACGCCTAACGCGTTAAAACACTTTCTTACATGTAGTCAAGGATCATGTAGTTAAAATAAAATAAATTTTCTAATTGTTTCTTATTTTTTTCTATTGTAAGATACGCCATAGAATGTAATTTAATCAGCCTCTCCGAGGTCATTAGAGGTCTTAGCTTTCAAAAGTTGACAAGGCTTATCAACATCCGGAAGACGTGCCCGCACGTGTCGACACAATTACGCATCTGATTCTTTTTTCGTTGGTTAAATCCGGATAAATCCGGACACACCGCAAACATCACGACTAAAGCATGTTTTAGACCGACGACTATTTCGCCTCATCGCGATAAATATTAATCAAAACGTTTCAATCAACGGAAAAGTAATTCCTTCCTCCGGCAATCATGTAATTAACGTTCTCAATGTCGTCGAGTTGTTCAAATAATTGCTGTAATGACGTGTCTTCACTAAAGGATATCGTGAAACTAATTACTAGCCTTACAATTGTTACAAATTGTTAAGCAATTGTTAACCAAGAAGAAATTACCATGTAATTAAAAAAAGAAAAAAGCAGTATTAAAAAAATAATCTATAAAACAAAAATAATTTTGTATCTTCAACATGATTACAATATTCACAGAAAAATTAATAACAAATAATAAATTAAATCACAAATAATAAATCACAAATAATAAATTAATTATCAATAATAATTTTAAAATATCAAAAGAATGAGAATTATCATGCCAATTTAATTTAGATAAAAAGACATACAAATTCTTGCAAAATATATTAAAATAATTTTTAACAAAACTATCTATACAATTGATAAAACAAATTTGTGAAATTGTGTCGGAAATTCTCCATATATTTTACAAGTCTAAGTTTTAGTCAACTACTATTATTTTATTAAACAATTTTGCAAAAAGCAATATATTTGCTTTTTAATAGCCTTTGTAAAAATTTATCATTGTTTTCTCTTCATTCTTTCTCAATCAATCCAAGTGAATTAGCAGGAGATTTTAAAATGGAGATTTCGGTAATCCTTAAAACATTTAGCGATAGTTTCCGTTTCGATTAAAGAGCATAATTCTTTTGACATATATCGCGCGCAACGCATGCAGTCGCAGAGGTCATTGCACCGTCGCTTTTATCGTTCGTATCGCGACTTACGATACGAGCGAACGAATGATCGCGAATGAATGAAAAAAATACAGCTTCGCTCGTACTACGCTTCATTCATCGCTCATGATACGTTATATACGATCGTATCGGGAGTGTTGACTCGGACGGATATTAGGACATAGGGTCCTTTGAAATTACCTGGATGTTCTTTTAACTGCAGCTTTGGGGGAGGGGAGTCCGTCGAGTTGCATGCTCGGTGACATGCAATCGAGCGGTGTTTCGAGGAACAAAGGAAAATTCGTCGGCCTAGATATCGCGCCGGCAGGTCGATACACAGGCTTACCTGGCGAAGCATCCATCGATTCCCAGAAAAGGCAGCGTGGCATTTGACTTTCGAACTATGCCATCGGCATTCGCAGGAGTGTCCGTAATTCGCTTTCGCCCCGTGGCTGGAACGTTGTATAATCTCCCGCTTGCGGCTAAATGTGTCGCGTCGACCGGTCAATTCCCAATAGTAGTTTACTCTCAAACCATCATGAATTGACTGTTTTTTTTTTAACAATACGACCTACGCAAGGTAGGATCTTAAGACGATTTGAAAATAAGACGATTCTACCGATTCTATCGTGACAAGGAAAAATTATATAACCGTTCAATTTGTATTCTATCTGCGATCACCTGAGCGTTGGATAATTCTTGTTTCAACAACATTCATGATTTTTTTGCACTGCAGATTTCTTTGCGATGTAATTGAATTTTTTGAGCAGAATCACGTGCGAGGTAACCCCGATAAAATTTCTGCCAATCGGGCAGTGGGTGGAAAATCATCCCATAAATTTTCGTAATCGCAGAAATTATTTTCCGTCGAGAAAGGAAGGGAAATGAACGCGAAAGCGATGAGAAACCACGGTCTCATAGAAAGTTACCGGTGAACCACTTTCGCAGAGAGATTATCTGCTTAAGTTATATCAAGTCGTTATCAGAACGATCTTTTTCCCTGAGCCTCGTAAGAGTTCCGCGTGAACTACGCGGACTTGATTTAATTATCATTTCATACGCGCAAAATGATAAAAGCATCGCTTGCGATTCAATTCAATTCTCATAATTACAAGTCTTATGCAAGTCTACTTGATTCGCTTTTCTTACTTGCAGATTTTGTTTACACTAAATGACGAATTGTTCTCCAATCGCAAACTAAATTCAATTTAATATTCAATTTAATTCAATCCCTTTAAATCGCAAGTCTTTTATCGAATTAACTTTTTCCCGTTGTAAATTTTATTCAATTTACTCAATTGTACATTCAATTTTGTTCAAACAAACTTCACTCGGCGTAACACCACACCTAACGCGTTAAAACACTTTCTTACATGTAGTCAAGGATCATGTAGTTAAAATAAAATAGACGAGCGTTGTCACGCTCGAAGTCACAGCCTGATTCCTCCTGATGATCTTTTCACTTCAATCTTTTTTTTTTTTCCTTACCGGCCTCTCCGTCTCTTTCAATTGAACGAATTGAATTTTTGCCGCGACTTCGATCGCAAAATCGCTCGGTGTTTTTGTGTTCGAATAATTTTATTGATCAGTCTGAATGGATACACACACTCGTGTCACTTTGCTACCTTTTTTTTCTCTCTTATCCCTTTCTTTCTTTTCTCGATCATTTATTGTCCGTTCTGCTCGTACGCAGTCGGCTGAAAACAACAAGGTTGTAGAAGGATAGAAAGCTACGTCTAGAGCATCCGCGGTCGGTCCTCGCTTCGGAAATAAAGCGACGGCAGAAGACGAGACTTTCGTCTATCTCTGATCCGCAAAATCGCCCTCCTCTCGCTAACGATCGCGGCATTCGCGAAAAGTCGGTCTCGCTTTCTCGCGAGACGCCTTTTTCAACACGTTCCAAGTTAAAGTGGCCGTTGAAATTGCACATAATCGGCTCTCTAATACATCGTGGTGTTTATCAAATGAAGCCGCCGGCCAAGCGGCTCGCAACATCGCGCCGTTAAACGCGCCTAAGTGAACACGCGAAAAACATCTCTCAACGATTCATCACTTGAGCTCGGCAACGGAAAATTATGCACGCGATTTTGCACAAATCTCTTGTTGATATATAAAACAGCAGAAAGATTTATAAATGAATTTACTGATGAA